CGGGTGTGGGCGGTTTTGTTTTTTTGGGGGGTTGGGTTGGGGGGGGGGAGAAGGGGGGCAAGGGGGAAGGTTGCTGTACTTTTCAAGGTATTCAACAGAACTGCAAAATCATTAAAAAGCAGCACTGGGCAACAGTTAACCAAGTCATTAGTTGTCTGATGGAGAAGCTGAAATATATAGAAGAGTCAGGGCACTGATATACTAAACCAGATACAGCTCAAAACCAGGTAACAGGACCTACATCTGTAATTAGTCTAAGAGCTGGTTTTGAACAAGTGACATTTCTAAAACATGTGTCATACTCCCCACTTTCTGTATTCTTAACAATTTTGGAGACATCATTCAAAATTAGTATAAATAAAAAAGAGGGAATAAGGTCAATGCTGCAGCATGCTCAAGAAAAGCATAACGTTTCTGTTTTCTGCACTTATATTACTCAGCATTTGTAACTAAAAACGATCTCTGTCTGCTACAGCAGCCAAAATTGTTTTCCATCTGCTGCAAGGTTATCAGAATACACACTGTCCCCTTTTCCAGTTTTCTCCATACACAGTAGGTGCAAAAGCAATTTCATCTCATTATAAAAGCTTTTTTAAAGGCTTATGTATTGAAAGCTCAAAATCAAGAACAAGAGAGACAATAAATATCATGAAAGCATTTGCAATTGAAAGAGTAAAGACACAGGAAATAATCTCAAGCAACTTTAAAACAATAACAGAGAGAAACACCAAAACACTATTACCTTGAATTCTTTTTCAATGTTGGCCAACTTGGCAAGTTCATTGCTGAGTTCTAGAGCAGTGAGTACTGGATCTTCACTGGAGAGGGACAGATAAGCCGGACTAGCCAGTCCTTTGTATGCATTTATTCTTGACCTAGAGTGACTGAAAGAATCATGCTTTTGCTTCTCTGTACAGTCATTACATTTGCAGAAATAATCATGAGGTCTTTCTATCCTTGCTCCCTTCATCAACAGCATGTGCACGACTTCGTATTTTTGGCAGTGGGCAGCTAAAATTATGGGAGTGATATCTGGAGAAAAGCGGGTACCGTCTTCATCATAGGAATAAAAATCATCATCCTGGAGCTCCTGCTCACAAGGGCTCAGAGTCAGTCGCTTATTTACTGAAAACCCAGGATGATTCAAAATTGCTTCCACTATCCTAATGTAGCCCTTGCTGATTGCGAGCAGCAGGGCATCTCCAATCCGTGCCAAGTTCTCTTTTTTTAACAGAAGTTCTGTCACTTCCAAATGTTCATTCCCTACAGCAAGCTGCAAGGCGTTTTGACCCATGTAGTCAACACAGTTGACATTCAGCGTTTTCGACTCCTCCAGCATTTTGCGCACCACAGGTATGTTCCCATACTCTGCTGCATCTAGAAAGCGCTCTTCTTCAGCCGTAAGACTGGTGCCCCTGTTGTTGAACATGAATGCTGGGCCTCTAATGGCCTGGCGCCTTCCCTTTTCCCTCATCATAGTCATACGTCTCAGAGATGGACTTTCTTCAATGTACCTAATGAGAAAACAAACAGGTAACAGAATTTCACCATGTTGGTTATTTGTAGCTTCCACTTCTCCTGTGGCTACAAAAATAATGACTTATTTTGTCCCTGTCATTTGCACATCTATTGACAAGAAGTAATTCTTTATTGCAATCCTTCTGCCTTCATGCTTACTTGCCTGCAATCTAAAGGTACTTACAGGTTCATTGCTACAGGCTATTTCTGTTAGGTTAGCATGGTCAAGATTTTTATTTTTTTTTTTACTTTACGTAAGACATCACTTCTCTTCAGAAACCCCTCCCAACTCACTTCAGTATATATATACAATGAAAACACATCTACTATACCTACTCTCAGTAGTAATTAATACTATCCACCACAGGCGTTCAAGCTGATGGTTTAAGGAATGCAGTATTTACGCCTACCATACTGTAGTTCACATAAATGAGAGGTAAAACCAAGTTTTCTTCCTGACGTCTTGCCAAGCAATACACAGTAAAGCCTGATCTCACGTCTTCCAGTGTTACTACTAGAAACGTTTACCAAATCTGAAAGATTCTACTCACAAGTCAATTTGGTCAAATTATGTCTTTGAAAAACAACAGTTCATACACGTTCAACAGACTTTCTGGATGCTAGCAACTAAACTGCTCACAGATCCCAGACACTGGGCATGATCCAACGTAGACTGGGATCAGCTCTCACTCCAGCTGGACTTCTGCAATGCTATGGGTTACGTTGGGGCTATTACTATTACACATCGACCATTCCAGGAGCTGAAAGGAAGAATCTATCTAATGTCATTACATGAGTATATACATATTTTTAAAAGTCATCACGCATTCTTGTAATACAAACAAGAAAAATTAGAAAGTCAAAGAGCTACTGAATGAAAATGACAATTGGCATGGCAGGCTGCACTGGAAAGAGGAAACCTGAGCTTAGGAAAGTGAGATTGTTTAGGAAAGGGAACTGAGAACTCAGGAGGTTGTGAACTCCCCTCAAAAACTGGTTGCAAAAGCAGAAAGAGGGAGAAAAGAGAAGGGAAACAGGAGAAAAGCAAGAGTGAGCAAGCTAATTCAGAAAACACAGAAACTGGAATTATGAACCAGTGAAGATGATGGCTGAGAGCAGTGGGGAGCAAACAGGAACGGACTGAGAGAACACAGAGATCAGATGCTGAGCTGGATCTACCTAGGTAAGGAAACTAGAGAGGAGAGAGGAGGTTTGGAGAAGCAAGACTGGGAGTTGCAAAGAAAACGGACCCAAGAGGAGAGGTTGAGGAGCAGACACTACCTAGCTGGAGAAAACAACAACAGGGAACAGCTGCCTGGTGGGGTCCGAAACAACAGAACAGATGGGATCAGGCTAAAGGGGTCACAGCTGGGAGAGCAGAAGCATTTATGGCTGCCAGAGCAGAGGCCAAAGGCCTGAGAAGGTACTCAGGATACCATAACCTTCCTTCACTACCGGCTGCAAATAAATGTGAAACTCACCAGCAACCTCCCTTTCCTGTCTAGCCCAGCTCAATATTGAGAAAGACAGCCTCCAGCTGCTATCAGTTACTCCATTAGCTCAAGGAATAGAGATCACTTGAGCTGATTTGATGGGCACAGAGACACCAGTGCAGCCAAAAAACAATATATGAGTTAATGGAGGGTGTGCTTTGAATACATATAACACTATATATATGCTACATAGAGACAAACAGGCCTTATAAATTTCAAATTTGGTCCTTAAGCCTTATGTGCCTCTGTTCCTCATCTATAGAAAAAAGAACAGTTGGCTCCCATTTTACAAGAGCATTGTAAAAATTAATTTATTCAGTTCGGCAAAAACTCAGATTCGAGAGTAAAAGGCCAGACAGACAAAGTGAAGAGGAAATTAATCCTTCTACCTTCAGTGCAAAAGCCAGGTAATGCGCTTTAGGAGGGCGGGCAGAACCAAGGGAAAAACGCCACGCACCTTTGGCGCACACAAAGCCTGCCCATTTAAGTGAACACAGTGAAACCTGCACGGGCAGCATCCAAAGCTGCGCATCCTAACTGCTGCAGGTTCAAACCCACAACCAGAGCCACAGCCTCGTACATGCAGGTGTGTTTTGGTGTGTGTGTGCACGATCTTTCAACAATGAGCTTCGCTGTATTACCAATGCACAAGTACGCCTGTTGACATCACTGGATTTCCCCATATGCAGCAATGTCAGCCCTAACAGTTTTCATTGGGCATAGCTAATTCCATTCAGGTTATAAGAATATGTCTGGCCTTCCAGCTATCTGCATTACTTGTAATAAATCCAGCAAAATATAAAGTCTTAATCACTTCATCACAGCTACAATTATCATAAAAGCTAGTCCATGCTCTGAACATTTCAGTTAACAAAAACAGGCAGTTCCATTGCAGACCATATGAAGAGACTGTAATACTCATTACCAAGGGCAGGTCTCTCCTGGGATGAATCACTTGATCTTTTTACATTTTCATCTGTAGCTGGTATTTCTGGACTACCAGAAATGACCTGGGTGGCACTGCAGTATAAGCAATGCTAACTGTTATATTCTTTTTGAAATATGTGCTAAAGCTGCTTCGCCAAACAGGACAGGATCCTCCCCCCACACACTCCTGTACCACTTCAAGTCTATGAAAAAGGCTGCATAACAGACAGGATTTGTGACTCTGTTAAACACAGAATTGATTTAATATCTTGAAGCTCAGGCATATTTCACACTTGGGAGTACTCAGATATAAAGATTTGAGCCCAGAGTGCACGTGGTGAACAGCCACAGTATGCTAATACCTTATTCCCCAACAAAATCACAAGGAAAACCAAAAATACTGTCTTTTTGTAGTTACCTTTTAAACAAGATCTTATTGGCTGCTATGCTGTTACGTTTCTATTCTGCCTCCACATCTAAAAGCATATAGCTACAGAAATGTAGTTGTTTACCGCAGTGTTATGAAGAAATAAAGTATGGGTATTAGAAAAGTAAAACAGAGAATAAATTGACTCACGCTGACTTCTTGATTTAAGAAGACTCCAAACTGCCACCCTGAATCTCATTTATCTTTTATGAAATACATAGCAATACATTTTCCTCTATATATTCCATTTAATTTTTCAGAATATTTTGAAATATGACACTTATTTTCTGTTTTATCTACCTTTCTTTCAATACCCGCTGTCTGACCGAGGTGACTCATCTGACTTCTGTAAAAAGAGATATAACCTTCCAAAGGTGTTGCATTAGAATATCTTCCTGATAAGGAAGATACCCTTAGCTATAAATCTTGTGACAGAAATGATATATTTGAAGTGACTGCAGTATCTTCTCAAAATAAAGATGAAAGTTGCTTGGTATTTTAATGACTAAAATATTGTCAAGACCTCCTGGGGAAAAAAAAATAAATAATCTTGTACAGCACCACGCAGCCAAAAGACCATTAAGTTCATCCATACCTCTCTCCTCTCTTCTTCCCCTCTTCCCTCAGCAAATTCAAAGACCTTGAAGCCCGTGCAGCTCTGGGTCAGAGTACTGCATGCAAGAAGCACGACGTACAAGGTCTCCTATTCCTTTTTCTGCTCTCCTGTTCTTACATCTAATATTTTTAAGCTACCTCAAAGCACAAAGAAAATGGTTAAAATTTTAGTTTTAACTATTTAACCATTTTCAGCATATTCTATATGTAATATCGGCCAAATTAAATAATCAAAACAACAAAATCTCAGTTGCATCTCTAAATATCATTAGACTGGCTTGAAAATATGATTAAAATAGAACTACGTGTGCATTAATTATTTGTGTTCTATTTCTTAAAGCCTTTAAAGTTCATATTCTCAACCTTGCCCCTGTAAGGAGCTGACAACTTACATGAAGAGAGGGAAGGAGAGATGGAAATTGTGATACTCTGCTTCCCAACTGTTCCCAATAGTTGAAAGAACACAAAAAAAAATAAACATCTGTAGAACGCATGGCAAAAAATCCACAAGAACACCAAGCAAGAAAAACACCTAATTATTTTATGTTAAATCTTCAGCAGAGATACACCACGATATTAAGTAAGTTCTAGTCCTAGCACACAGGTTGCATGGTTACCCGACGTGGTTTGCAGCAGGAAGGTGAGAGGACAGAATTCAGTCTCCTTTTGCTGACACGAAGCAGCAGCTGAGCCTCTCTGTTTTTTCCACAACTACTTTCCACATTTCACAGCCGAAAAATGGCCAAGGGGTCTATAAAGCCTCAAGCCTCTGTTTGCTGCTGAGCACAAATAAGAAGGATGGATGGAACTGGAGAAGAGCAATCACGTTAACTGAAGTACACGAGCTCCACTACATCTCAGCATGTTTTACTTGGCCCCAAGTGTGCATCAGTTAGGCAGCTTGTTCAAGGGACCAAAGAGCTTCACTGGCAGGAAGGAAGAACTTCAGAAACTCTACACCACCCTTCAGAATCATTCATCCATCAGTACAAAACAAAGATGGTCTCAATTCACAAGCTTTATTTCCTAACTATACTGCTACCATTAGCAATTTGCCAGCTTAAGCCCAGTTCACCGCTTTGTACTTCGGCAAACTCTCAATAACTTCAGTGGTAGCCGTAACGAACATAACTCACTACAAGAGGATGAACAATTAACCAAGATGTGACAGGACCCTAAGTCAGCGCCTTGTTGAATAACACAAAAGCAGGACAGGACACCTCCATTTCAGCTTTGCAGCAGAACTGTGACATTAGTGAGGCCATGGCTCCTAAAGCAGTATGTCACCTTTCAAGACCTTTACCTAATGATAAGTATCACAGGCTTTCAGAAAGGGCAGTGTTATGTACACTCTGAACAACTAACTGGTTTGTTACATAGCAGGTAACATCCCACATCGTAACATATTTATATTTACCTTAAATATTTTCATCTAAAATGTATGACCTTCATACGTGCAATAAAAAAATATTTTAAAAAAAATTCCACTATACAAGCAATGGCCACTTGTCTCTTGTGTTTTGCATGCGT